AGGGATCCACTATCCTGCCTATCACCTGGGCCTTAACATTTTACTAAGAGAACTTGACAATTAAATGCCTTGTTTTCCCTCTCAAAGAGGTCATTAGGGGCACTTCAGCCAACATAGATAAGGTGATGTTTTAGCCTGGGGGAAATTTATGGTTCTGCCTTAGTGAAACTTTGCCTTTCCCATAGCAGCCAGTGCAGAAGTACTGGGCAGTAGTGATGAAGGTGAATCTCAGTGTCCTGTGAACTTTCAATAAGTCCCCTGAGTCATCAAAGGGAGATTTGATTAGGTACATCTCATTGAAAGTATGTTGTGTTCCAGGTATTTTAAAATTGAAAACTCATCTATCACATTCAGCCTTTCTTCCCTGATTTGATCAATTAAGATTTTCTGCCTCCACCCCAATTAAATATAATAATTATTTTACTTTTGGGTGATGTACACAGCTATCCCAGGATCTCCAAAGCTTTCTACTCTTGGCTTCCAAGTCAATATTGTTGTTTTGTATGTATGTTGTTGTTGTTAAGTGCCGTTGAGTCGGTTCCGACCCATAGCGACCCTGTCCAGGGTTTCCGAGGCTGTAAATTTTAACGGGAGCAAAAAGCCTCATCTTTCTCCCGTGGAGCAGCTGGTAGTTTCGAAGTGCTTACCTTGCAGTTTGCAGCCCGATTCGTAACCACTACACTACCAGAGCTCCTTTGTACAGGAGCCTTGAAAGAAAGGGCTGAAGATCTACTTCCAGATTGTGAATCATTGAAAACTCTATGGAGCACAGTTCTACTTTAACACTCGTGGGGGTGCTGTGGGTCACAGTTGACTCAACAGCAATTGGTGGTTGAAAATATGAGGGGGGCTTTAAAAAGTCTGTGGGAAAATGGAATTTTGAAAGATAACTGAAGTTTTTCCTTGAACTTTTTGAAACCATCTTATATGTAAGCAGAATCCAGGAAAGAGGTAGAGTAGGGTAAGAGAGATATCCCAGAAATAAACTTAAAGTCATGAGTGCATTTAAAGCCAGAGGAAGGACTGCAGATGTCCAGTTACCACTGGGGCAAGGGTCAGCTCTTCTCTTTCTTCCTTCTCTCTAGCATCTTTCAAGTCTTACAGGACCAGCCTCACCCTTCAGACATTGAAAATGGAAAGTTTGCAGCTTGCTCTCTGTTTCCATTTCTTAAGAACATGCTTGACTGGCATATAAAACATTTTTCTGGGAAAGACTTCCTATTCTTGAAACATTTGAGGTATTTTACAACTTAAATCAAGCAGATTTTTCCTGGGAGCTACATTGAGAAAATTAATGCACCATCAGTACCAAGTCCTCCAAAGAGCTATTTTGAGAATGAACCTGAGGATGAAGTCCAGGGAGGTATGACTGGAAAAGCAGAGACAGGGTGAAGGGAGGAAGCTTGGATGTGGCTTATAGAAACCTTATGCCCTTGAGAAGCAGGAAGGGAGCTGATTCCCGAGACACTGCTTCATAGAGCTTCCATTATTCCTTCATCATCTTCATGGTGTTTGCAATATCCCCCGCACCATCTGCCCCATTATTTACTTATTTCTCTAAATCAATTCCGTTTTTAAGCTTAAAAACATTTATCTAAAATAGGCAATACTGTTTTGTAAATGAAGATCTGCATCACTTATAATAAATATTTAAGGAGATTCATTTTTTAAAGCTTCAATAAAAATTTTAAAGTTATTACATTCTAGCTAGGTAATATTGCTTGCCCAGGGCTACAAGCCTGGGACCTGTTCTTTCTTGGCAAAGAAGTATGACAAGCTAGCAATAGAAAGGTTTTGAAGACATTCTAGTGCCAAATTCCGATTTTGCCATCTAGATAATCAGAAGGATTGAAATAAATTAGAAAAGGAATGGCTTTCTCGTAAGGAATTTAGTGCTATTTAGTTTTGAGCAACACCCAACCCTTTAGGTAGCTGGCCCTAGGAATGGTGCTAAAGCGAAATGAGGATAATGGTGAAGGATGAAATAACCAGAGGCACAGAGCCCATAACAGTCAAGACTCAAAGAAATCCATCCTTCCTGGTTCATAGAATTCCATGGAAGTCCTCAGCCAAACACAGTCTATAGGCATCTGTGTTGGTGCTGTACTCTTGGATGAATGAATCTACCAATGTGATCCATGGTAAGAGAAAAGCCAAGGAGGTTTGGAGGCCAGACCACTTCTCTCTGGGCAAAGAGAATGAGTTGGATGGAGCCAGATGTGTTCACAGGTCTTTATGGAAGCAGGCAGTGCAGCCATAGCCTTAGGCTGATGGAACCAATAGGAAATACTATCTAGGAAACCTTATGTGTTGCTATCTTAGCAGCAGCATCTCCAGAGAAGAAGGTCTGGCATGCAGTCCATCAAGTGCCCATGTGCTTTATGTACAATGACGTGTTCTGGGCCTGTCCATTACCCCAGAGACCACTGCTTAACCAGGCCTAGGGATGAGTATTTCGTATCACTTATTTATTATTTTGTAAGATCTGACTTTGTAGGATGCAACATAGGATTTGAAGTCATTTGAAATGTTATAAAGAAAAAAAAAAAAAAAACAGAAAAGAAATGACAACTATCATCTTCTCACTGTTACTATGATGGGGATGTTGTTCTGATCTCTTTGCTTTCATCAAATTAATTGACCATTCTTTTGCAATGGCTTAGATACAAGGATGCAGATACTGTCTGGGAGAGTAGTCTGGCTTTGAATGGTAATAAGGGCCGTAGGAACACAGTCTCTGTGTTTTTTTCTTGAAAACTGGAGAGCGATGTGTGCTTGAAGGTTTGCTTGCCCATCCAGGGCAGTAACTTAATTTAAAGTGTTTGCTGAGAGTGTTTGAAGTAGGTATTAGCAAAATGCAAAACTTCTTAGACTTGTTAGAAGGTCATAGTTTAGACAAATATTGCCAGTTTAAATTTTTAATTCAGTGTACATATCAAAATAATAGAACTTAAAGGGACCACAAACCAAGAAAGCCAAACCAGTCGCAGTAAGTCAATTCTGACCACATATGTTTCACAATATAATTGTGCTCCGTAGGGTTTCCAATGGCGGTGATCTTTTCGAAGTAGATTTTCCCCGAGGCATTTCTGGATAAATTTGACCCACCAACCTTTTATTTAAGCCTAGTGCTTAACTGAGTTTGTGTCTCTGCCATTCCTGATAAAATGAACACAAGAATCATCTAATTAAAGTTCTTCAGAGTTCAAACCCACCAGCCACTCCTTGAAAACCCTATACAGAGTCGCTATATGTTAGAAGCTACTCGACAGCATTTCACAACAACAAGTGATTAGAAAAGAACCCTGGTGGTGCAATGATTAAGTGCTTAAGTGCTAACTGAAAGGTTGGTGGTTCAAGCCCATCCAGCAGCTCCACAGGAGAGAGACCTAGAGATCTGTTTCCTTAAAGATTGTTTGTTGTTGTTGTTGCTGTTAAGAGCCATCAATTCAGTTCCCACTCACAGTGACCCTGTATAGAGTATCTGAGGAGTGTCTGTTGGGTTTGAACTGCCAGCCTTGTGGTTAGCAGTCCAGAGTTTATCCTACAGTTTCACACTGTTTGGGACCATTCTCTTCTCCCTCATAGGGTTGCTATGAATTGGAATTCCACTAGACAACAGTAAGAATGTCACTCAAAAATCTATTAAGATAGGAGTGCTTTTTTTAAAAAGAGGGAAAAAAGTAGAAGTTGATGACATGGCCTATTTGTGCTGTAGACTTTTTCAGAGTCCCCTCTTTTTTTTGAGAGAATGTCAGATGTTTTCTGTGAGCAGTCTTGGAGCTTCTGTCTTATAGCTCACAGGTCTAAGGAGTTGACAAGATGAAGTGAGAAAATTCTGAAAGCCTTGCATAACTATACGTGCCTCTGACCTCCTGGCCCAGGACCCCTCGCTAGGATGAAATCTCTGAAATCGGCCAAAGAGAATGAACAGTTTTACAAAGAAGACACATACAACCCAATTGGACTCCAGTTTTCTCAGGCTCCGAGCTGTTCTCATCTGAGAGAAAAAAGAACCGTGAAAGCAAAACTGTATACTTTTGTCAGGCAAAATTAGATACCATCAACTGACATGATGGCTTTTGATTTCTGTGGTGTCATGAAAGTGGACCTCCTGCTAAGGGAACATTGATCTTTCTGGTAATAATAGTAATAAGCCCTTGAGTTTGCGCATAGGCATTCATATAGTTTCTCTCATTGGTTCCCTATAGCAGCTCTTATAGGGATAATTGTTCCCATTCTATAGATGAAGAAACTGAGCCTCTCACAAATTGTGGAGGTTGCTGGAACTTAGATAGCAGAAGTCACACTTTGGGATTAAAACACTTTTGACTCCAAGTATAGTGATCTTACCGCTAATGATGTTTCTACTGTTATCTCCTACCAGACTCCACTTTATTACAGCAACCTTCCCTACCTTCCAGCCTTCATGTGGGAAGGAAATGATGGTTTTAGAAATGAATGCAAAGTGCTTCACACATTTTTTGACACATAGCAAATGGTTGGCATGTGATAGCAACTGTTGAGGAAGAGGCAGTGTAATGGAATAATTGAGATCACAGGGTTTGGGGTCAGACAGATTTGAGCCCTGATTCTCCTCCCTTCTGCTCTTAGAAAATGCTCCATGTGACTAGGCCAAATGGCTTTGCTTCTCACAGGATCAGAACTGCTACCTTGCAATGTATAATTGTGAGACAAGATGCAAATGAAGATATAGAGCTTAGCACATCGTCTGCTCTTGGGATTCAGTAAATGTAGGGACAATTACATCAAAGAATTAGCTCATTTGCTGTGATGAAGCAAAGCAATCCCTGCCTTGGAAACTTAACCAATATTATATTTCATAGTGAAACACCTTGATTTTGAAGTCTCAGGTACTCAAAGACTTTGTGCTTTTGCCTCTCCCTTGACTTTCTGAGTCTAAGAGAGATTGCAAGGTTATTTCATGGACCCCACAACTTTTGGGCTCTACAGAGCAAGACTTGGATGTGGTCAGGTACCTGTATATGATGCATGCAGTGTTCTGGCAGGTACTGCAGTTGTTGAGATCTTGGCCAGTTCGGTAAAAGTTGCGCCTGAAAAACAGAGCATTTGCTGAGTAAATGTATGGGCAAGAACCCAGGGGATACATGCATTCTACCGACTCGCTGGTTGGTCCTTACTGCCCACCCAGCACTGCCTGGCATTTAGTGCTGCTCAGAAGCTGCATGGTCATTCCAAACAAGGAAACATGGAAGCCAAGACAATAGTGCCTTGTGTTTCTAGGGGAGTTTATGCATGTTTTAGACACTTTCAAATCTGAGAAGTTTTTTTCCCTATGTGAAATGGGTCATTTATTCTTATCCATTGCATGACCCATGAAGTACCCGAGTGCGAGTGAGCAGAAGAGGGATATTAAAACCCACAACCCCCTTGGCTCAGTGTGTTCCTTAGCACCTCACTGCTTCTCTCTTTAAGTCAATGAGGCTTCTGATTCATACCAGCAAATGCCAGTGTATTACTTCTTCCCTCCCTGTCTCCTTTTTGATTAGCTTTAGCCATTCCTACATTTCCTTGTCCAGGAGCACATAGTAGAGGGATGAAAATTCCACATCCAGTTAAATAACTGCTTCTCCTGCCCCACACTGCTGCTGAATCACTCAAGACACCATTGTGTGACTCTTTAACTTTGTAAAATTTGTGACCTCATTTCAGTTCTGAGTTAGTTGGTCAGTGATGGAGTAGCCCAAGTGATCAAAGAGGTCAGTGGAGGGGAAGGTGGGCAGTAAATTCAGTGGCACAGGAAGCCCTTTGTTACAAACACAAAAACAACTAAAATACAGTGCAAATGTAGTGACTGGCTGAGAGGATCCATCATCAATCAATGGAACCCTTGTCCTCATAAAGATCATGTGTCCACCCTGCTACTTAATTGCATCTTTTCCCCAGTGGAAACACCTGGACACCAGAACAAATAGCCATGACAATCCACACACATTCACTGAAGTTTAGAGTGAACTGAAGTCTTATCTAAGAAAAGAAAGGCCATTTACCTGTGTTCTGGAGGAACAACAGACTCTCAAACCTTTTGGAGACATTCTACTAATGGAGACCAATGTACTCCTGCCCTGTCAAGTGACTTTACCCAATCATTTTTAATAGAAATAAGTAAGTAAATTTCATCTTACCCTTCTGTGAGAGCTCTGGCTTTTTCCAAGTCTTGAATGACATTCAACAGGACTTTAATTTTCTCTTGATTTGAGTGCAGAGATTCCTCCACAGTCTGTAACCTGCCTTGGAGGTCACAGAGTTCCCCTCGGGCCAGGTGAATTTGACTCATTCCACTCATGTCTTTGTTCACAGGAAGCTTTGTTTCATTTCTTGGAAGAGAGGGTGGGGTGGGATCACTTCCTAAACAGGTTGGAAAGTCCAGGGGGTCTGGCTGCATGGATTTCTCCTCCATCTCCTCTTGACATGTGGGTGGAGATCTTGACCCACTGTTAGTATTTAATGATGCCAAGGTCTGGTGATGGGTACCAGATGAAAGACAGTCTGATGTTCTTCCTGGATGGGCGGGCTGGCTGTGGGTGCCTGGTGAGGGGGAGCTCTGAGTCCGTGGAGGGGAGGGGACACACCTTTCCTTGGACTGAGATGACAGTAGGCCAAGGTCCTTGTCATCAGGGTTGTCTTTGGGCAAAAGCAATTCGGGTTGAAATTTACCTGTGCCTGGCATGTGATTGGCACCGCTGGTGGCATTTAAGCAGGAGGGGACTCTTTCGGAATCTGTTGACAGCACACTTCTCCCGTCACCTGGATACATTTCAACCACAGAGTGTATGGAGTTACTGATCTCAGCCAACCTGTCTGGGCTGAAAGTGACACCTCTTGCTTCCCAGGAAGGACTGTGGTAAATATCATCTGGAACCTGAATGGCAGCTGTTGCTTTCTCTGAGGCCATCCAAGTCCCTCCTTCCAAGCAGATGCTAACAGGCCCATTGCTTTGCACCTTGGACATCCTCGGGAGAAATGGATGGGACAACTTGATCCTTTGAGGCCCATCATCACGATGCTGAGCCAACCTTAAGTAGGCGAGGTCGGAAGACACAATGTCTTGCTCGGAGAGGTTACCGTTGACCTGGATGGCACTTTGGGTTGCTGTTGGCATTTCTACCAGGGACTTGCTGGCTGTGAGTTTCTTCCTTTTGAAAACTGGGAAATGCTTCCTGAGACTGGGGGAGGTTTGGATCGCGATGTTCCGAAAGCCCCCTGCCTTCTGGGACCTGGGGAAGGAGAGCGAGTAGGTGGGGAGGTACTGATGCCTGGATGCTTGAGGCTTCCCCATCACAACCGAGTCTTCAGAAGTCTGGACATCATCTTCAGCTAAGCCACTTGGATTCTTACTGGTCCCATCTTCCTTGAAGCGCACCTGCTGGGATTTGCTCCTGCGGTGGTGAGGTGGTTTCACAAACTCCACTGACTCTAGGCTGTTTCTCTTCAGAAGCACAGGCCGCACTTTCATATTTTGCTGGGCCATTGAGCCTCAGTTGAAAGGGTTGGGACCATGAGCTTCTCCTGAGCACATTTCTTTAGGTCTTTGGAGCAGCATCCAAGGATGGCATTTCAGACATGGAGAAATGCCAGTCAATATGGATCAGTCCTCTCCAATTCATGTGGCAAGTTTTACCGGCCATTCCCAGCCCGTGGCATTTACTTAGGAGTGATTCCTAATGCTTTCCCTGCAGTTAAAACATCATATCATTGCAGTGATAACCACAATTTAGATAAACAACGAGTTAGGCTAATTATTAAACATCTCATCTACCAAGAAAGCTGACGGGCTATTTATCAAGGGAGGCAGGCATAGGGCTCTGATCCTAGAGGAAACTTGCTATCTTGAACAAAAAGATGATGAGAGTATCATTTAGGAGATAACGCCAGACTCCCAGGTATGGATTCCAAAAGAAGCCGGCTGCGTCTGGAACGTAAAGCTTCCTTTCCTGCAGCATCAATTTCCAGTGTAAAACTGCAGGAAACTTAAAGAGATCTTCTTTGCATAGCGTGTAAATAGGCAGAGAAATAAATGACCTGGGGGTTGAGTTCTTTGATGGTATATGATGCTCCTAAGGGAACATCTCCATTTATGTCAAACACAAATCTCTCCTTTGGGGCCATTGTTTTCTCTCATGCTACTTCCTTTTCTTCAGTGAGGGAAACTTATCTTCCTAAATGGCTTCACAAAATGCAACGGGGTGTGACCAGGACAGGATGGAGGCATCAGAGGGGACTCAAAGGGCAGACTCCCTGTGGTGGTTGGTGTCTTGGTTAGAGTTCACATGGAGGCAGAGTGAGCTATGTCTGCAGCTTCTGAATTCTGAATCAAGGTTGGTAATCACTTGCCCTTGGGGGTCAGGCCCCAGACAACAAGCATTCTTTGCAAGCAGGCAACAGATGTCTGAAAGGGAAGAGACAACAACCGCTACTGAGAACAAAGGTCACATGGACCTTGATTTCTTCCCAAATATCAACTGCATTACTTTTAGCGCTTTTGAGTGGAAGGCCTAGGAATAAGCCAACCATGCCCTTTGTTCTGTTCCTCTGGTTTCAGGGCCTTAACCAAAATGCCTGTCTGCCTGGGCCATTTCCTCCCTCCACTCAGCCAACTCCCATCCATTCAAAAAGCACTAGCTTAAATGTTCTTTCTTCAGCAAGCCTTGCCAATTGCTTTTAATATACACTTTCACTCCTAGACCACACCAAGACCACTGTTAGCTGTTTGTCATTACTTCCTTCATAGCAAAATAAGCAGATGAAATTCAGTAATCCTCTATGTATGTATTTATTTAGTGTGTCTCTCAGTACTCTACTTTATACGCACCAGGAAGACGGGGGTAGAGCCATGTCATTCCGCAAACTCATTGTGGGTGCCTGAGCATTGGTGACTATGTAGATGGCTGGGTGAAGGCCAGGTCCTTTGGAAACAAACAAGAGCCTGGGTGTTGTGAGGCCACTGGACCTTCTGCTAAGATTGTAACCATTACTTAAGGGCAAGATTTTCCCTGAACATCTTCAATTATAAATTGCTTTCTCTGGAGATAAATGTACTTAGGATTCTTCACAGAAACTTCACCTTGTAAAATAACAGCTACCATTTAATTTTGCTATGCATTAATCATAGTAATTCACATCTATTTAGTCCTCACTTAATATGCCAGTTGTTCTTAGCTCTTTCCAAGCCACGACTCATTAATTCCTCCCAAACTATCCTGTGAGGTAGATACTAACATTAACCCCATTTTGCAGTTGAAGAATCAGAACCCCAGGAAGGTTAAGCAGTTTTCCCAAGGATGCACAGCTAGTGACAGAACTGGGATCTGAATTACAACAATGTGACACTATTGCTTGTGCTCTTAACTCTCACACTTCACTGCTTTTCCAACTTTGCATGATCTCATTTAAACATTACAGTATTATCCCCATTGGGCTGATGAGGAAACACTTGGAGAGCTTATCCATTGAGTGAAGGAGAGAGGATTTGAAACAGATTGTATATGATACCTAAGTTGATGTTCTTAACCTTGAGGTTATGACTTTTTCTCCTGAGAATCTGCCTGGCCTGTGGGTCATAATTTAAGTAATTTGATAACAGGGGTTTGAAGTCCCCTGCAGGTCTGGAGAGGAGCAAGGAGCGCAGCCTGTTCCTTGTGCAAGTCAAGGGCCCAGGATTGAGGACCAAGCCTGCCTGGATTAACAAAGAGTTATTGAAAGAAAATCAAAGTCATAAACAGTTACAAGTGTTGGGATGTCTTTGAGGGAATATGTTCTCTGTGGCATCCAGCCTTCTCATACAGGCTTCTTTAAGAAAGAGGAGAGTGTTTTGCTCCATCAACAGGAATTTTAACATTCTTCATAGTTGTGGCGGAATCCTGACATGGTGCTTTGCCTTAATGTGCCAGACTGCAAAGCTGTTTGAACTGCAAGGTTGGTGGTTCGAGCTCACCAGTCACTCATTGGAAACTCTATACAGGGTCGCTATGGGTTGGAACCGACTTGATGGCACTTAACAACAACATAGCTGTGGTACCTGCTTCATGGGTGCAGCCTTGTCTCTCTGTCTTTGCCTTTCCTTAGTAATTTCTAGATAATACCCATGATGATTTCTGCCTCCCTGCTCCCGGCCACCTTAGGAACTTTCACTTGACTCAGTGAGGTTTGAGGAGTGTGAGGGCAGGTCCTAGAAGACAATAGGATTCATCTAAAAAACTTGTTAAGTACCGACGACTCAGTTCTGATTCACAGCGACCTTGTATATGGTTTCTGAAGAGTTGCTGATGAGTTTGAACTGCTGACCTTGTGGTTCAAACCTATTGTGGTCCGCTGCTTTATCCCACAGTACCACACCAGGAGTTGTTAATTTGTCACATTCTGGATATACCTTAGACCTGGGTTCAAACCCCTGCCTCCTTATTGGCTGAAGGAATTTGGTCAATACTTACCCTCTCTGAGCCTCTGTATTTTCATCTGTGGAATGGGAATGGGACTCATAGCATAGTCACTCATGGGTTCATGGGTCTGACAGAAGTCAGTGAGCTTTCCACATTGAGAGGTTCGCTCCATTCTGTCTCTCTTTGAACTTGGAAAACTCTCAGCACGGTGTCCAGCATACAGTAAGAAATTAGCATGTGTTCGCTGTTGTTGCTAGGACTACTGTTGTGAGCACCTCCAGTCAGGTTTCCTGGTTGTGAATGCCAAAGTGTGGTTATGTATATATCAGAGAAGGCTTCAAAAAGCTCATGGAAAAAATGATATTGAGAGATAATGGAATTTTCCCATGAACTTTTTGAAGTCCCCTGGTATTTCTAGGAAGAGGGGTTACAGTTTCCAGCAGATGGTCATGAAGTTTTGTAGACTTAAATGGTGGAAAAACCACTGTCTTCAGCTTCTCCAGAGCAGGTGGATCCACTCTTGAGACAGAGAATGAGTGTGTCCCATTTGCCTCACCTTGCTTTTTTTTCACTGATAAACATGCAGAAAGTTCTATGGTATTGCTTGCTGGTTCACACCATCCTTTTTAGTACGCTAATAGGACTCTTGTTTTCTAGTTATACCATGATCTACTTAAATTGTGCCCTTTTAAGGATATTGTCGTTAAAGTATCGTATAGTCAGTTCCAAGGAGACACTGATGAGTTTGAACCACCGACTTTGCAGTTCAAACCAACCTTGAGGTCCATTGCTTATCCTACAGCACCAGGACTCCATTTTAAGGATATTGTTGTTGTTGTTAAGTGCCGTTGAGCCGGTTCTGACTCATAGCTACCCTGTATAGGGTTTCTGATCCTGAGCTGCTGAACTTGTGGTTCAAACAGAATTTGCATTCCAGCACATTAATCCACAGCGGCACACCAGGATGTTAGGTTGTTTCTAAATATTTGCTATTATTAGTAATGCTGTAAATAACATTTAAATAACATCTAATTATTTCCTTGGAATAAATTCCTGGGAAAGGAATCCATGGGTCAGAGGAACCATATACTTTACATGTTGATAGTATTACCACTTTTCCTTCCAGATCCTTCTAGTAATAAGCAATTCCTAATACCTGAGGAGGCCTTTTCACCTGAGCCTCTTCATCACCAGGTGTGTCTGATTAGGATGACTTCTTTCATCTTTGCCAATAAAATGGGAGAGAGTCTGTCTCGTTGCTCTCCTCGTTGTGTTTATGGGCATTTTTCACATGTTTTTGATTTTACACTAACTTTAACATGCGTAAAGAATGAAGAGTTGAAAGCTGAACGAGAACTTGAAAAGTAAGTCTAATGTAGAAACACATCCTAGGAAGCTTAGCAGAAATTAAAAGTTTCCTTCAAAAAGTTGCATATTCATGTTCCATATCTTCTGTCCCCAGAGCCCACTATGAGCTTTGCACAGACACATCCTGGGAAGCAGACCTGGCTAAAAGGAATGACCCTTTGGGCGCCCTCTGGTCTCATAGGCTCCAAGCTGGCCATTCTTTCTTAGGGAGTTTCCTGGGCCTCTGTGGTCAGAGATAAATTAATATCCTGGTCAGAGTCCAGAATCACTCCCCAAAGAGGATCTCTGCAGCCTCCTCACACCCAGGACCTGGGAGTTATTGCTGATCTTTGCAACCCATTATGTTCCCTTGATTATTGACTTATGGAATATGAACTGACTGCTCCAATCACACCTTTAGTGCACACTGGGTAGCCCTCTTGGAATCAGGGTCCATTCAGTAGGCATAGAATCATGTAATATGATCTTTGTTGGCTACATCTTCTAGGCTTCCCCGGAAATGGACTTCAGTTCTTGTCTCCAGCATGTCTTTCAGCAATACAGTGAAGTTAAGCATATAAGGATTAGCATAAGATTGATCTGAGCTAGAATCTTCCACTTACTAACTTGTAACGAGTGATTTAGCCTTCCTAAATAAAGCTTCCTAGAAACTGACAGGACCACCACCAACAAACCCTCATGCAGTTGGTATGAGAATTAAATGAGACAATCTATATAACATGGC